TCTACCACGCAAATGTTTATTTCCAGCTGAGTTCAAGGGTCGCCAAGAAACGATCTTGTATAGCCTTCCATGATGCGATGGTCTATCGAAAATGGTGCAAGCAATGGCGAATATTTCTGGTTAACCGCGAAACTGTTTGCGCCTGAAAAACGCTGCAGGCCAGCCATTAGGGAACGAGGACCAGCGGCAAATTCTAGAAGCTGAGGCCTGAAAACACGTTGCGCTGATTTGAGCCGTGATTGCACCATCGTGACGGCGCCCTTCCCGAGATGTCGACGTACCAAGGACAGTGACAGGGCTGAGGAGTGAACACGCAAGGACTTCTCACGACGGGCACGGGCTGCGAATTGAATGTTGGCTTGTTGTCCAGGGGGGGCTCCAACTTTTAGGTAATGGCTGAGCCTCTGAGGCACTGTATGGCTGGAGACGGATGCATGATCTTCAGGAACGGGCAATGCGTTATATGTTTGTACCCTGGCATAGAAGCGAGGCTCCTTGAATCGAATCAATTTTTAGTCAAGAGCCGCATCATCTGAGATGAGGCTCTCCTGCTTCGGTCTCGGCCGACAATTTTGGTGGTGTACACAGTGGCACTTGGTGATCTCGTGTTAGACAGGAACGTGGCATGAAGACGAGTTAACGAATCAACAGTGACATCTTACGTAAGTAAGAGAGCTTGAGTGTGTGTGGGACTTGAACCTGTGGCGATTTACAGTACCAAAATTGATGCCAAGTTGATGATGCTGCTCCACTTTCAACTACACGAACTGACGAGGGCATCTAGAATCAATCCCTAGAGACTTCCGTGAGCGTTCCATTTTGGAGGCGGGGAGTCTTTTGGCGCTTCCTCGGGGCAGGGAGTAGCCGCGGCTAACAAGCGGACGCCGGAAGCTTTGTTATGCGTCTATGCATCAGATTTCGGGAGTTGTTGATGAAGAATAGGGTTCAGGAAGACGGGATATAATCCCCTGAACTCGGTTTACACGGCAATTGCATTGCATTGCATTGATGTGATGTCGTTCCGTTTCATGTCTGAGTTTGACACGATATAATTAGGATCTCGATTACGAGTATTTCGATATCGACACAGTGGGTTACGCAAGTTGCTTCACCATGATGAAGTCAATATGTATGCTGTCGATGCATCGAGATACTTCCGTGTAAGCCGCGTATGTATCAGACCTGGCAACATAGTTCAACCACGTGTATCGACCAAGACCAGTCAGACACTGATGCTGATACGTACAATCGTTAATTACGGAACGTTTCTCACCGGGTAAAGGTGACATCCAACAAGGTAAATCCTACCCTGCAATGGTGAGAAAGACTCATTTTCAGGAACCCTGATGATGGGCCAACATTGCTTCACGATGCCGCAATAGGCGGTTTGATTGGGGGCGTGTGATCTAAATCTCCCCCAAGGTACCAAGCCAATTAGGCGTCATGGTGGACAAGATCCAAGGAAATCCGTTTCTGATGCTTGACCCATCTCCGAAAAAAAGCTTGGTCTCTTTTCCAGATCGAAGTTTTGAATCAAGAAACGACAACCCAAGTTGGTTTAGTTTTGGAGTCAGGGAGCAGATGGTCAGGTCTCTCAGAGATTTTCCCAGGATCTTGGGGTGTTCATGACACCGTTAAACCTGGAACTTCTTGGAAGCTGAACGGAAGGAATTTGCTTGATGGAAAGCATCCACATTAGTATACGTACCTGTCGCGTATAATTTTTTCATTGGCCAAGTTCCAGCCGCGGTCACCTCTTGGCTTCTCTCACCTTAACATACGGTCAGCGACGTCCACTTGACTGTAAGAAAAAATTCTTCATCTTGTGGAGACATTTCCCCACTGTGTCTCTGCTGTCTTTTTGCAGTAGGAATAGCCCTTCAAGGGATGACCCACACGGTGTGCATTGGAACTTCATGATATAATAATTGCAGCGTCAAATACGTAAATGTTTGATCAGTGACAGCCGCATACCGTTTTTTACTTAATGGATCGGACTTATTGTGGAACCAGCTCAAAAGAACTTCAAAATGTTCTCTTTTCTCTTTTTCTCTCTTCTAGGCCTGGCTTTGTTCAGTGGGACCGGGAACGGAGATGGAATGGAAATCATCACACCTTGCTTTACCTGTAACTGATGAGAGTGACAACATCGAGGCTAGTGACTCTCATGGGTAAATGATGATGTCCACATGATTCATAATGCAAAAGTGAATGCAATTCTTTACCCCAATGCAGCTCCAATTTCACAGCTCACCGTTCAGAGAGCACATCTCCGAGTCACTCAGCCACATACATAGAGTTTGATCAGATAAGTCCATCATGTATTATTGCTACTGTACCGATTCCATCTACCGGTATTAGTTACGAAGCTTAACTCTGAGTCGACTGAGGCTTGATCCCGTGCTGATCTCACAGAACTCTTAGGTAGAAGTTTAGTAGGCACTGCATCCTCGTATGTTAATTTGCCCATAGCCGCTCGTTTCCGTTGGCCGACATTCGGAGTTGGCCCTACCAGGCCTCTCAGCCTATAATTGCCCTTTCTGGGCAATACAACTCACAGGGATTGGATGATGTGTTTCGTTTGGTTCTCTTCTCTTCTCTCACTGCTAGTTAGCAGTGTCACTCACAAGAGTTCTTACTTGTAAAACAGCACCTGATGTTCCTCTCGACAGGGCATTCGAGCGCATACACCGCTTATGATAAAACCTTTGGAAGGTATCATGTTTGCTGAAGTTGGCATCCACTTGAAATGTCCTGAGGAAGCAATCAACACATTACCTACTCAGGTAGTCTTGGAGTAGGAAAAAATATCCGTTCTTGTTCCTCTCGGGTTCTATGACTCTATGGTGTGCAATCTCCCCGAAGGCTCCCCGGAGAGTTTTTTAGTGGGATCTAGCGCTGGAACTGGAAATTTACAGCGCTGCGGGCCACTAACCGCCCTTCGACAATCCTTCCATCAGCGCTGTTGCTTAGCCGCACGTGGCCGTCGTGTACTGTGCCTGCCATTCCCGAGGTAGGGTAAATTTCCAGATTTCCGAGGATAGACCTCGACACCGAGGAAAGCACATCATCGCGAAATAAGATCAACGAATTCCACCGTCTTAACCGATATGCGGCAATTGCATAGTTTGTCATTGATAATCAACAAATTGCTTGTCTGGGAATTAGGATCTGACGAGACGTATGCAGCCCAAGACTGGCTGGTGATGTGCTCTGCCGCGTCATGTGCCGCTATATCGAATCATATTTTGCTGGGCTGGTGCTGTTTCTGATGTTACGGCTGTTCTTTTCGATCCTTTCCGTCAGTTGTTCCCGAGAAAAACTAACACTGACACTGCCTAGGTTAGTGAGATCAAATCATCAAAGGGTCCCCCCTTGATCTACCCTGTGCGCCCTCTAGGCCCTGTGGCTTACCGGGCCGGTCTTCGGCCTGCTACGCCGATTCTCACTGAGAGTGAGAACTCATGGGGCTAGTGTGCGTCTGGAAAGAAACAGACTCACTCGGAGACATGGCCCGTCTGTCTTCAGTGCACAGTCTAGACAGTAGAGAGCCTGCGGGTGCTTTGCCGAGACAGATCAGGAGGACATGCATGGACAGAAGGAAAACAATGGCTGGCTAGACTGGGTCACTGCATGAAGTTACACTTCGTTCAACTAACACAGTTGACTAGGGCATACGACGACACAGCACAGCATAATTCCATTCCAGGACTCATATGAAGAGATTTTCTATAGCAAATTGTTCTTTCAACTTTCCAGCGGCCACAACCGGTCAGCGTCGGTACGCGTCTTTGCAAAAGGACTCCATCGTCGTTTGCTTGGTCTATTCCAGCCATGGGGGAATAAACCTGGTCCTACGATCCACGATCGAACTTCGCAAGATCCAACATGCTCCTCGATGACCCACAATGTCCTACGTTGCGCGACACTGTGCTGTATGTCCCTGATGGGCATCAGATCAGAAACGTTGGAGCATGCCAAGGGAGCATTAGCCTGGTGCGTACCGTTCGTGGAACATTCTCTTGGCCAACCGTAACACCGCATTGCGCCCATACTGACTGTGCCAGGGTTCATCGTAGACTGTGCTGGTGTTGAACCCACCTTGCTGGTCGCACGCCCTTCGGCGGTCTCCAGGCCACAGACCTACCCATAACCCACACGCCCAAAGGGGTTACAGGGCTCACAGCGCGCGAGCAGAACTGGCAGAGTCAGGCGGGAGCCGCCTGTCAGTGCATATCCACCAAGGCGCCACTTAACAAGCTCGCCATAGCAGGGCACCTTGGGCTATGACACATTGTTTCCCCCAAGGACTGAGCACGAGTCGAAGGCTCTGAGTTCAGATATTTAGTCTTGGTGATGCCCTCGATCTTCTCACTCGAAAGGCTCTCCATATCTTCCCCAGAATCATCTTGGTCTATCTTCAATTTCCCCAGACTCACATCTACATCTACTATTATCCCGGGTTGACAACACTTGACTAAAGTTAGTCCCCAGATATATCAACTTACAAAAAGTTCACTTACACACGAACGAAACAAAACAACGATCAACGACAGCTTCAGTAATTGGTTATCTAGAAGACACTTCGATACCAATTCGCATCTCAGTCACTTGTTCTTCACAGAAGTTACGAGAAAAACGAAAAATAAATCTACCACTTACTCGCGGCATCTGCAGCTAGCAGCCGGCACTCAAAAATCCTTGCACACCACCTCAGAACAGGTTTGAGTGGCAGCATCGTCATAACCGACTTCGCATTGACGCAGCTTGCAACATTTGCAAAGTCAGAAGACCAGTTGCCCCTGGCTATCTCCCGCCGTATACACCCACATCATACGCCGGCGTCAGCAGCACCTACAGTACTATTTCCGGTATTACATCACACTGAAGAGTTTTTGCGAAAACTCGACTCGTTCACGCGAGTGCTATTTTAGCCGCCAACCCCCACCATCAACCACAAAAGGGAGCGTCTTACAAAAGGATCGCTCACTACCGCCGCCATGCCCCACCGCGTGGCTAACTTCATCCGCACCTCTTCTGGCAACATTGCTCAGATCAAGAAGGTTGCTCGCTCACGCACAAACAGCCCCTACACATCAGACGGCGAGGATCGACCTCAAATCCACGCTGTCAAGATGGCCGAACTCGCAGATGCCGTTAAGAAGCATCACCGAATTTCTCTGCCCTTTGGCAAGTCCCATAAGGAACAGCCCTCAGATGTTTCCATCGACTGGAGCATCGAGAGCCCACCTGTGGTTTTCCACGGCAACACTGAGGAGAGCACTGGCGCTCTCATCACTGGACAGATGTTCCTCGATGTCAAGGAGGAGGTTGTCGAGGTTGGAAGCTTTGCCGCTTCTCTCAAGCTTCACATCTACCAGAAGAGGCCCTACCAGAGCCACTGCACAGATTGCCAGAACCAGTACACTGAGCTCAAGAGCTGGCAATTCCTAGCTCTCCCTACCACACTCCGCAAGGGTCGTCACCCATTCCCTTTCTCTATTCTCCTGGATGGCCACCTCCCCGCTACCATGGATACTCCCCTCGTCGCCATCTCATATGAGTTCAAGGCTGATGCCTATGTCACCAAGAGCATGCACTCATCCAGTGGCTCCGTCACGCCTGTGCGATTCGAGCGAACTGTCCCTGTTAAGCGATCTCTCCCCGAGAACGAAATTCCTCACCACTCTGTCCGCGTCTTCCCCCCTACCAACATCAAGGCCAGCGCCCACTACAACAACATCATCCACCCTACCGGATCCAACACTGTCAGTCTCCGTCTTGACGGTCTCATGAGCCGCAACGACAAGGCCAAAACCATTGACTTCTGGCGACTAAAGAAGGTCACATGGAGACTCGAGGAGACCATCAAGACCGTGGCCCCTGCTTGCGACCGACATGCTCCTGCAGCTGAAGACACCGAGAAGAAGAGCCTTCCCCGCAATGAGGTCCGCGTCCTGGGCGAGAAGCACCTCCACGATGGCTGGAAGTCTGACTTCAGTGGCACCGATGGCAAGGTCGAACTTGAATTCGATTACTTTGCCAATCAGTACAAGTCTCACACCAAGGAGCTCAAGTATGCCTGCGATACCAAGTCTGCTGAGGGCGTCGAAGTGACACATTCACTACTCATTGAGCTTGTTGTCTCTCGGGAATACGCTCCCGAGGGTAAGCCTCAACTGGCTACCCAAACCGGCACCGGCCGCATCCTGCGAATGCACTACGGTGTTGTCATGACTGCTCATGCTGGCATGGGTGTCAGCTGGGATAACGAGGCTCCCCCGGTCTACCAAGACGTTCCTCCTAGCCCCCCTGCCTACCCTGCCATTGAGTCCCCGGTTGAGTACGAGAGCCTGGAGCACCTCGATGCCCACCGACTCAGCAGTCTTTCCAACGCATCAGATGATGGCAGCCAATAGAGCTGCCATCGATGAGATTCAACATTTGTCTTTTATTGCTTAATATTTGCATTTTCCTTTGTCAACAACTGCATGAGACACGCGGCGATCCGATTTGCGAAAAGAAGATACCCCAGAAGCGTTGATAGGAAGGCTCAGTAACTTCCACCTCTACATTATAAAGAAAGGGAATACAGAACACATGGGAAATGACTTTTGAAACGGAGTTTGGGAGTACAAAAAGTTACAGTGGATTGGATATCAGGGACGTAAGAGCCCATGTGTTGTATAGCTATCAAAGCTTCTGTATCTAGTTATGACAAGAAAGGCCGCCCAAAGAAGCAGGCTTAAAAACATTGAATAATTATGAACCATTTCAACTCTCAAAGCTTGACGATGCTCTCATGTGAATTATTGGTTGCTTGGCAACGAGCCAGTTTCTGCTTGCTTATTGACTCGCATAGAGTAGTCAACCGGATTCATGGTCTAGAACAAGATAAGGGGTGTGAGTCAGATGCAGCCAAGCATGAGGCGTCCGGGGTTAGATAACCGAGGCACTGTTTTACAACCCAAAACAGAAGCAATCTTGAAGTCTGATAAGCAAAAACCTGGGGTTTGCGGGCGGACAACAACCCGCAGTCAGCCATGATAGGTCGGGTAGTCTAAGAGGTCAGTGTCACAAGCAAAAGTGGTGCATACATTACACAGAATAGTTTGGTATGTGCGTTTGAGCCTGAAAGGCGAGGGTGAATTCTCGCGTCGACCAAGAACATGCATGCAGCGTTGATCGTCAAAAGTGGTGGTCAGTCTGTGATGCATGATGGATCACACGACTTGCAGAGACAACAGGATTCTGCATACCAAAAAGATTGTGTCATTGGCGTGCGGACTTGGACTCCCGGTATAACTTGCCAGAAGAGGACGCAGTGGCTTGTTCAAAGTATTGCCCGGATGCAGCATCCGTTATGGCTTTGGTCCGGTCTTGTTTCCGGTCTTGTGTGTCACATCCCATTCGAGTTGATGGCGTACATGTTTGGTGGGATGGTGAAAGCTCAAGAATAGAAATTACAAGCTTGGTTAGATTAGCTACCCAAGCTATCTGAGAAAAATATGCTTGTTTGATGGGGCCTGTCTTGGCTGGTTTGGGAGTTGGAGATTGCTGAGAGGGATATCTGCTGGTCTCGTGATCGGACGAACTTGAAGTGCACAAAGAGCTACATTTGGCTCTTAGGCTTCAGGACAAAGCAGTGAAGGGGTCTTTTCTGTCATATAGCAGTCGACATTAGACCATGCGACGTATAATTCTTTTCTTCAATGGCTTGTTGTCGCTTCATCTCGAAACACTGGCATTGCAGATGTTCTTACTACCACCTTGGCTTCGGAAACATATGCCCTGCTGAGTATTTAAACATCTAGCGGAAGGTAAACTTGCATTTATAGTGATAATAACCAGATAATAACTGTATAAGAGAACCTTTTTGTGTTTACTTATCCGTTTCTAACATGATTGCATAGCGAGTTCGGGTGTAGTTGCTACAATTCTTGGGCAGTATCCCATGTTGCATAGTAATCAGATATTTGATATACGGGATGAAGACTATTAAAGACATGAGAAGTGAGTTTGGGACGCAAATATAGAACATCAAGTCCCAGCCTGTGAACTCTCTCGGAGCGGAGATTGAGATACCTGACTTATTGCTCAAGGCATGGCTGAGCACCTGTCCACAGCTAATAGCCCCCCTCTAGTATCGTAGTATTTGTGAATAAAGTTTAATTCTTTGGGGTATCAGTCTCTACCTAGTTGTCCTCATCATAAGTTAGCCTACAATTAGGATAGTTATGCCAGGGTAGAGGATGAGGGATAGGTTACCTAAACCAGCCAAAGGATCCCTATTTGAACTTTGCGAACAAGTCATATTGAGAGAACTATGAGCTGAGATGCCGTAAGCTGTTCCAGATGAAACCTTCTTGTAAGACTGAAGGTAATACTTGTAAGAACTCGGAAACATGAGGCGATGACGATAATGCAAGAAAGAGTTCATCAACTATGCCCACAAAAGACGTCCAAGGCTTACCAAACCGGACAATAAGGAGACTTTGGGGAATCAAATCAAGGGCCTAGGCAATGATACATTCGCTGCTTGAGTGAGACATTGAGCGAGTCGTCTCAATCGTACAAGAAAGACACAAATTGCTAGCTAGGTAAGAAGTGCCGAATGGTCTGTCTCCTGTTTAGATCTAGTTTCTAGGTTCCATTATTCCCGTGAAGTATGACGGTAAAATTAATGATTTAGGTGTATCTACAGAAGGGGGCGGGACAGCTATGAATGAGTATATCGGTTCCAGGTTCTGGTAAACTTGGGCTCTTTCTTATAAGATGGACTTATAAAGCCTAACAGATAACCCTATACTTCTTTTTATAACTTTAATATATAATTCTTAGTAACCCTAAAGTTTAATAATATAAGAAATGTAAAATAGATCTTAGAATAAGATAGATATTAAGGAAAGAATAATGCTATTTATAAGTAGATTATTACAATTATATAAGATATTAAGCACAGCTACAGGGATAAGGTTCTATAAGCATTTCTATTATTAACCAGAACAAACCAATCTAGACCAGAGAGAGAAACCAGAAGGAATTTAAAGGTTGTAATTCGAGTAGCGATCGTCAAGACACCTGCTCGCCCTGTCAGCCATAACCACTGCCAGTATTTCCAAGTAAGTCACCACCATGTGATACAAGAGACAGGGCAACCGTAAACCGAGATATGCCGAGATCGATTCGATATCTAAAACACTGTATTGCTACGGAGTGGTAAAAATTATCAGAATGGATTGCAAGCTATCGATAGAATACCGGCCCAGCATCGGCCGCATCAAAAAGCTGTTTGAGGCTCGTTTGAGAATCGGGAACACGTAAGTCGACCCACAATATCGAACATTTTTAGAAGACGATCTCCGGATAACGCCCTCAAGGTAACATAACTGAACACTCTCTTACTACGAATAAGCCAATCGTTGCATGGTTGCTATAGCTGATCTTATGCATCATATGATGGCGGTAAAGAAAGTGTGACTGATGCTGATTGGGTAATTGCATGGTTGATCAAAGTCAAGTCTTACAACATCAAATGTGATAGTTAACGAGGAGATGCTTGGTCCTCATTGTTTGTCCAAGATGTTCTGAGTGATGAACTTATTGGGGTCACTTGTAGACGGAGTTGCCAAGCAACTGAAGGATCTATCAATAGCTTACCCCGGATTTTGAAGCTGTTGCTGTAGCTGGAGCTGTATGTAGCTGGAGTGTGGAGACTCTGACCGGGTGTCCGGAACCGGCATCTACTATGTATAATCAGGCACAGAAAAGAATGGATGACTACCTTCCCTATCAATGGCACTGTATCATATCATGATGATACTGCAGATGCCCAATTCCTCACCCAAATCACACAATTATCCCCCTGACTAAACATGCCGGATACCAATTTACTCCTGATACTCGTCTAGAGAGTCACACGACTCGATGGTTTTTCTAGCTTCCTCGACTAAACTTGCCCGAATCTCAACCGCGGCCCACCAAACAAGGTCAAGATACAGAAGAAGCTTCAGAGTCTCTCCCTCCCGTCAACTCCCGTGGACAACAAACAACCCCCCGGGCCCGGGAGAGCGCCAACGCTAACGCGTGAAACTGGCGATTCAATGCGACTGTTCATATCAAATATAAACAGAGTCTCACACCGTAACACGGAACTTGGCCGAAATGATGCCTCAGGCTCTGCCCGGCCCCCGTATCCACTTCCCTTGAGCCGAGAGTGACCCCATGATAGCTCCGAGCTATGAGTAACAGTTTAGCACATTCTAACGTCCCCCACCCAAAGACCGGCCACCCCCACAGACTGGCCACCTC